GAGCCACAGCCCCCCTTGGAGCACCCACAGGACCCACAGCCCCCCTTGGAGCACCCACAGGACCCACAGCCCCCTTTGCTACAGCTGGAGCAGGAACAGGCCGGCACACAGCAGCACATGGGCTTGCAGCAGCACACGGGCTTACAGCAGCAGCTGGAGCCACAGCCCCCACAGCTGGAGCCACAGCCCCCGGAACAACCACAGCAGGTCATGATTCTGGAGATGGAGGTGGAGAGGTCAGAGGAGCAGGCAGAGAGGGAGGTGTGCAGATGTGGCGCCTCCTGGCTGGGAGCCTTATATACCTGCCAAACGGTCTCTCTGAGCATCCTTCCCTGTGTCATAGCTGTTTACAGTACTTCCTGGGGATGTGTTTGTTTGTTTGCTAGACTTCAGGTTTTCTCTTGCCCCAAGCAGTGCTCACTCTCCTAAGGTTCTGGCCCCTTCCTCATTGCTCTGGAGCCTGAGTAGCACCTGACCCCCCCCTTCCTACCAGGGGGACCCTGAGGCTGTGTTTACTAGGAAGTTCCACTGGATGCTTCTCCCCTTGTGCTCTTCCTAAGGGCCACCTCTGTTTCCTTTAGAAATGTGATCTCTTGGGACGGGGAGGTGGCTCAGTAGCATAAGTGCTTCCCTTGCAAGCGCGAGGGCCTGAATTCAATCCCCGGTTCTGCCAAAGAAAATAAACAAATAGAAATGTGTTCTCGTGTAAGTATGATGTCTCAAGCTGAATGTTCATCCGTATTGCTAGAGTTTTTACTGAAAACATTTTGCTTTTTCATTCTGTCTCTGCCTGTGAAGAGACATTAGTCAGTTTCACTTTCTTTGTTCAAGACATCTGCTTGTTCATGCTCTTGGCAAGGATGCTTATAGCTTCCAGACAGGGAGTATTGTTTTTATATAAAATATTCATTAATTGCACAGATAGAAATGAGTATTTTGGGGCAGGAGAGATGGCTCAGTGGAATAAGCGCTTCCCTGGCAAGCAGAAAGGCCTGAGTTCAATTCCCGGTTCCACAAAAAAAAAAAAAAAAGAAAGAAAAAGAAATGAGATTTTTAATTATTACTTTAATTTGTTTAATTATCTGTGTGGATAACTTTTTTACTGTCATATAAATCATTTATAGTGGGGATTGAGGGCTGGTGAGGTGGCTCAGTGGTCTAAAGCACCTACTTAGAGCAAGCTTGGCAAAGCCCAGGGACCGCGGTTCAGTCCCCCAGCACCACATGCCAGCCAGCCCTGCCCCCTGGTGGGCTGAGCTGGCCACACACACACACACACACACACACACACACACACACACA